TAAGTGAATACATGGGCTGACTTAGCCATGTTGCTAAGAGACCAAAGGGGAAAGCCCAAAAACTAGGGGAAAGTAAGAGCGGCTTTAAATAGTTGGTTATTTGGGTACCAGTGTCTGGCAAACAAAATTGTTTGGCTCTACTGAGTCAAGGAGAGCGAGCCTTCTCCGAAGAACCCTTCTATCTTGATGCACGTCAGAAGCACAGCAGAGCCCTTTCTGAGGCCACAGCTCCCCAAGGGCCTGCAGCTTGTAGTCACCGTTACACTAATTGGCCATATTTTGCCTTCGCTCTTTTTCATAGTCTTAATCTCTCTCTCTTCTTTCTTTCTTTTTTTCTTTTTTCTTTTGGAACAGTGTTTCCCAATAGCTTTGGAGCCAGTCCTGGAACTCACTCTGTAGACCAGGCTGGCCTGAAACTCAGAGATCCACCTGCCTCTGCCTCCTGAGTGCTGGGATTAAAAGCGTGCACCACCACTGCCTGGCTGTAATTAATTAATTAATCTCTTAATGTCTCACCCAAACAGGAAAGGCCATGATTGCTCTAATGGCCACTGTTGGATTACCCTAGCTATGGCCACTGTTGGATTACCCTAGCTATGGCCACTGTTGGATTACCCTAGCTATGGCACACTGGTGGATTACCCTAGCTATGGCCACTGTTGGATTACCCTAGCTATGGCACACTGGTGGCGATGCCACCATTATCATCCATTCCCACCTCAGCTAATCCAGACAACCTTGCAGAAGCTGTTTGTGCCTCACCTGACCCCCAGTTGTAGGGTTGTATCCATGCTAGGCTGAACTGAGGCGCATCTGAGCGTCTTAGTCCCCAGCTGTGGCACTCCTACCCCCATTGCAGCCCTAGCTACAGCCTAAGCCGGGACACAAAGCCAGGCCCTGGTGTGCTTGCCAGTGAGGTTAGCCGGAGCCTCCACCCACACACATCTTCCTCCTGCAGGCTCTGAACTAGCAGCAAGGCAAGGGGGGCATGCCCATCCAAGCAGGATCCCAGGAACACATCCACGCCTTTTCTCACCTCAGTATGCCTGATGGTCTCTTCCAGCTCACAGATCTGCGTCTGTACTGTGTCCTGGTTTCCCAAGATGTATGCCAGGCTCTTTGTCAGTTTATCCTAAGCGCAAAGAAAGAGGTGGGCGTCATCCTGACTCTGCAGAGGCAAGTAATTAGGAGGGGTGTGCAGGTGTGTGTTAGCACAGGCGCTGAGTAAGGAGGGGTCTTTACCTTGAGGGCCTGGTAGGCACTGAGCACTGGAGTGATCTTGTGTCCACTGTGGGTGCGCCGTACCCTGCAGAGTTGACACACCAGTCGTTGGCATGTCTTACAGTAGTGAGTCACCTCTTCCTTGTGGTCTGGACACATCAGACCCTAGGGGTACAAAGGATAGTGAAACAGTCAGCGGCGTGTGTGAGCGAGTTGACCTACCAGCAATTGGTTACCCTCCTCCAGCGTTGAGATGGATGGGAGTGGAAAGAGCGGTGGTGCTCCATAGTGCCATCTGGTGGTGGATACTGGCATTAAAACACTTCTGAACCGTCCAATGTCCACTTCACAGGCACTGTTCTCTGCTCGTCTACTTCACACAGATATGTATGCAGTAGTGACAACAATGATGATAATTAATATAACCCTGTAGTTCACTTTGTTCACGGTTGAATCCAATTTCTAGAATAGCAGCATCCTACTTATAAACAACTTGTTGTTTTTTCGAGACCGGGTTTTTCCTGTGTAACAGTCCTGTCTATCCTGGAACTCTATTTGTAGACCAAGCTGGTCACAGATTCACAGAGATCTGCCTGCCTCTGCCTCTCAAGTGCTGGGACTAAAGATGTGTGCCACCATTGCCTGGCTATACACAACTTTTTTTGAGATAGAGTTTTCCCATGTAGCCCAGGCTGACCTTCAACTTCCAAGTCTCTTGATTTAACCTTCCAAGTGCTGGGAACTCAGGCGTGTGCCACCACGCTTGGCCAGATAGCCCTTTTTTAGGCAGCAACATCTCCTGCGATCCTATCAGCAGTCCTTCGGGTATAGATATTGCAGGTAGATTTTCTCATCTGTGTGCAGCAGACGAGATGAGTCATGCAGAGATATTGAATCACCTGGCCGGTGAAAGTTAGAGACGGGCTGTCAGGCGGCCAGATGTGACGGTGTACGTCTAGTACTCAGGAAATGGAGGCAAGGGGCTTGCCATGAGTTCAAGGCTAGTGTGGGCGATACGGCAAGGCTCTGTCTTTTTTTTTCTTAGTATTTTATTTCAAATTATGTGTGTGTGTGTGGCTATGTGTGGAAATGTGTATGTGAGTGCGGGTGCCTGAAGAGGCCAGAGGGGTGGTATCCCCTGAGCTGGGAGTGGAAATTACAGGGAAGCAAATTGGGATTCTCTGGAAGAGCTCTTAATCACAGAGCCATCTCTCCAGCTCTAAGACCTGTCTGTCTCTCTCTCACACACACAAACACAAGTGTGTGCACACACACTCACACATATACACTATTCACACACATACACACACAGATAAAAACTCAACCTGGCCCACCACCCTTTGGAAGCCCAAATGCCAGCCACCCCCAACCATTGGTCCAATACCACCATGCCCCTCCCACTTCAGACCCTGCAAGAACTGGCTCACCTTGGGGCGGAATGAGAGAGTGGGCAGAGTGGGCTCATGCTGGGCCTTCTGAGTGCCCCAGGGGTGGAAGAGTTTGAAGCATTCATTGCAGAAGGTCGCTCGACACTCTGTGCAGCCCTTGGTGGCCTCTAGCGGTGGGGGCTTGCACAACTGGCACAGGATGGCGCCTCCCACGCTCACACTCTGTCGGTACCTCTCCACCACGCGCTCTAGGGTCAGGTTTCGGAAAAGCCCAGAAAGGCCGCGCTCCCCCAGCTCCACATCGCCTTGGCAGGCTGGGCACGGGAATATGATTGTCTGGGGGTGCAAGGCACCCCGCTTCCGCCCAGGGTATGTCCCAAAGCCTGTGGGAGGACCCAGTAGGCAGAGGTTAGAATTACAGCTGACTGGTGGCGGATGGCCTCGGCTCAGTTAAAAACTGGACTTTCATTGCATCAGAGCTCAGCCCTCATAGGTATCCAGGTAAGCAGTAAGTAGTTCCAGAATGGCAAATACCCCGACCCTCTTCCATCTTTCTGCATTCCCACCCCATCCCACAAACCCCAGCCCCACCTGACTTAAGGAGCCGGTCCAAACGATCTGGCTTGGGGAGAGTTCTCCGAGAGAGGCGGGGGCTTCGGGTAGAAGGAGTAGAAGCAGGAGAAGTGGGTTCCGAACTGGGGTCCCCACCATGGCCTAGGTAGCCCTGCTGGCCCAAGACCTCCCGGGCACAGGCCTGGCACACGTTGTGGGTACAGGGCAGCACTAGCGGCTGTTTGTACATCTCTTGGCACACTGGGCACAGCAGCTCCTTCTCCATGTTCTTCATGCTTGTCTGTGGAAAGACCAGGAGGCTGTGTGAGAGCGAGGACACTCGGGCATATCTCAGCCGGTCCTTTGGCAGCACAAGCTACTGTTTTGGCCCAGAACCTGCCTTGGTTGGTCCACACACCTTCCCAGCTCTCTGTCTCCTGTTTCTATTCCCCCTTGGAGAGCTTAAGGCCCAACACGAAGGTATGATTGGAGCTCAGGCTTCCCCTAGCATCACGCCCCACCCCCATCACTCCGGATACAGCAGAGCTGGCAGGCAGTCCTCCCTCCTCACCTGTCTCCATCCCTCCATCTCCGAATTACCGGCCGGCTACTGGGATTTATTTCAAGGGCACCACCCATCCTACATCTGGGTGCTGTCCCCCGCCCCTTTTCCTAGCAACCCTTAGGCGCATGACAGCTCCCATGCCAGGGTGCGCTAGCTCTCCGAACCGGCTGGGCACTAGCCCGTGGCCACCCCAGAGCCCATCCTCCATTCTTCACTTCTATTTCTTCCAGTCTCCCAAAATCAAGCCATTCCTCTTCGCCTCCTATCCTCGAGCTCTCCAGCCCAGTCTGGTGGAGAAACTGGGCCTGCTGCAACCCTTCGCCCAATCTGGGGGGAGGGGGAGCGCCCCGCCTACTTGCCCCTCCCCACCGGAAGTATCCCTCCCCCTTTTGGTGAGGGGTCTTCAGGCTATTCCCCACCCCCACACCTCACCTTGGTCCCTCTCTTCGCAGCCATCCCGGTCAGGGGCGCAGCTGACACAAAGGAGGGAGGGACAGGGAGGGAGGGGGAAGGAAGTGGTGGGGGGGAGTAGGGTTGGCACCGCCTCTGGGAGAGCCGGGCACGGGTTGCCATGGCAACCGCAGATTGCACGGCAGCTCGCAGGGGGTGGGGGTGGTAGGGTGGGGGGTCGGGAGGGGTCCAAATTGGGAACTGCACCTAGGGAAAGCTTTTTCAACACCCTCCCCGACCTGTCCCCAGTTTCTTGGAAAACATCCAAGCTCACACATGCCCCTTCTCATAACCCTGGTGCACTGCTGGCCGCTGCCCCAAGCCTACCCGCTGGGTCCGGACAGCTTCTCACTGCCTACACCCCAGCAGACAGGAGTCTTTAGGGCACTCAGCACCCGGCTGTCCCCAGGATCCCTGCACACCTGCATCTTCTCCTTCCTGTCATTTCTGTCTTAACTAGCCCCGTCTCTACATTCCAGACTCTTCCTGGACCCCCCACCTGTTCAAGGATCTGGCTCTCCCCGACCCTCTACACCCCCTCCCTTCCCCTTGACCCCACCTTAACTCACACTGATGCGAACTAGTGCATCCATGATGGAAGTGAAGGTCTGCATATCCTCACCCTCAGCCATGGCCCAACTGTGCCCGCCCGCCCCCAGTGGCCCGACCGGGCTGCTGCTGCGAACCCGGGGCTTAATGCAGGAGCCGGGTGGGGTGTAGAAAGGGGTGGGGAGGGTGAGATGTCATTGCGCATGCTCCAGGGACCTGCCTTGAACTGCGCCCGTCGAGGTAGGGGGTGGGAAATAGTTCTTCCCACGTGGTTCTTCAAAGGCGGTCTAGGGGGTGGCTAACCTGGAAGGGCATTTGAGAAAGGAACCATTCCTTCTATTAGAATCTTTCATTGATCCCTCGTCATCCTACTCACATAGAGCTGATTTTAGAGGAAGACGAACTCCTGGTTGAGAGTGCTACATTTTGGGTGGGGCATGTCTTCGGAGATGTTGAGGCAACCGAATAGGGCAGGGAGGTCTGAGGAACTTGTACTACAGATGACATAAATAGCAAAGAAGACATAGGTGACTCTAGGCCATGGGTCATGACTGGCCCCATGAGTGAGTGCAGCTGGTCCTGAGAGGCAGCAGATGCCCCTAGGTGCAGAAGAAGGCTGGAGCCCAAGCGGGGCGGTGGCCTAGAATGCTCCTCGAAGCACTATTTCCTCCTTGCCGCAAGAGGGCGCTGCGTCCAAGGCGCCTAGAGGAAGAAGTAAAGCAAGTCCACGTTGGCTCCGACGCCTGCGTACAGACACCCGCGTCGGCTTTGGCTCCTCTCTTTCTCTGCCAGAGGCACAGATTGGACCCACGGGCGGGGCGTGATGGGTAACCGGACCGGCGGAGTCCCCGGGCTGCCCTAGCGGGGGTGGGCGTTGGGGTGGCCCTCTTTTCCCGGTAGCCTCCGTAGAGCTGACGTGTCCTGGTTTCCAGGGCGCTGGCATTTCCTCAGGACAGGCGGGAACTTGGGCGTGCGGGGCCGGGGGTTCCCGGAGGTCGCCGTGGGGTGAGGGGAGGGAGTGTGACTGCAATACCCCGAGCGCTTGGAAGTGGTTGGCGGACCGAACTCCGGGGCGAATCTGCCTGAAGCTTTGTTTGACTCATTTTCTCATCCCCAGTAGTCGGTACCGGAACCTCCTTGGCGCTGTCCTCCCTCCTATCCCTGCTGCTCTTCGCTGGCATGCAGATATACAGCCGCCAGCTGGCCTCCACCGAGTGGCTCACTATTCAGGGGGGCCTGCTGGGCTCCGGCCTTTTCGTCTTCTCCCTGACTGTATCCTCTCTACGCTGGAAAAGGGCTCGGGGTGGGGGTGTTTGAACAGAAGATGGATAGGGGACCGCGTGGGCCTTTGCGTTTGTCCTCCTCCCCAGCCCTGGTCTTTGCTTGTCTCTTACTCCCCAGCCCTGCCTTGATGTAGGAGATTCTCCTTAATTCCCTCAACCCAGGCCTTCAATAATCTCGAGAATCTGGTCTTTGGTAAAGGTTTCCAAGCAAAGATCTTCCCAGAGAGTAAGTGAAACTCGGTAGTTAGTTGAACTCTTTTAACCTGTCCCAAACATGATGCTGAATTTCCCTGTGGTTAGATGGTACCGGAGAAATATGTTTGCTAAAACTGTCTTGAAGACAGAGTGCTTTTGGATCAAGCATCTTGTCCAGCTCCTGGCACGGGAACTGGAAGAGAAGCACAAAGACAAAAAGAAGAAAGAAAAGGGAAAACCTGGCTTGCTCCCAGGAAAGGTTTCAAGCACAACTAAGTTTGAGCTGATGTTTGATAGGCATCCTCAGGAAGGTGTTCTTTGTCCCTGTGAGAAAAGGAAGCAAGACGAGTTCACTGAGGGATTTTCATGTGAAATTGAGCCTGTGCTAGGGTTCTCTTGAGGGGATTGTGAAGGTGGTACTTTCTGGGACATTGCTGATAGATAGCAGGACTCCCAACCAGAGGATAGAGAATCACTGTTAGAGCTCTCTCTCTCTTTCCTCCTTCTCCCCTTGAACTTACAATGTAGCCAAGGATGACTTTGAACCCTTGAACTGCTGACCCCCGACCCCACTTAAGTGCTGGGATTAGCACCATCTCGTATAGTGAATGTGGTGCTGGTATGGAACCCAGGGCTTCAAGCAAGATAGAACTCCACCAGCTCCACATATCCAGCCCTGATAGATCGATTTTTGATAATCCTTGTTAGATGGTTCCTATAAAGATCTGATGGTTTAATTATTTGTGGAGAACTAAGTTCACAAAGCAGAGTCAGCATCAGGACCAAATCGCCTCTGGAAAACCACACTCAGAAACTCCTAGCAATTGCAGTCGTGTGAAAGGTTGACCCAGTAACACCGACCGGTCATCGCTGTCCACACTTCCTCGCCCTCGCTGTTGCAGGTTTCCAGAACCTTCTGTCTCTCAAACTTCTTTCCACATGTACCATCATCATTTTCTGAAAGAAACCGTTATTGGGGACAAAATCCTTGCCTTTCTTTGCCTTCCCTGCTGGCTTCAGCTGGGCAGGTGGAGCCTCTTCACCCTTCTGCCCTCTAACCCCCTCCTGTCTGTCAGGCCTTAGGTCTCTTCCTAAACAATGGGAATGAGCCTTGCCCTCCAAGCCATGCTAGTACATTTTATTTTATTCATTAATTTGCTTTTGAGGCAGGATCTCACTTTTGTCTTGAATTCCTGGGTTTAAGTGGTCCTGCTTGAGCTATGTACCACTGTATTCAGCTTCCTCTTGTTTTGGGGAGGGTACGGGTTGTTTTGGGTTTTTTTGGCGGGGGGGGGGGGAATGGCCAGGAAGTTACATGGGATGTGGAGCAAAGCCAGTAAAACAAAATCCAAACAAAATTCCAAACCTTACTTCCGTGTTCTGAACAATGTTAAGGCCTTCTGAACTCTCGACATTTATCAGGACATTTCTTTGCTTTTTTGTTTTTGATTTTTTTTTTCTTTTCAAGATAGGGTTTCTCTGTGTAGACCAGGCTGACCTCACCTGCCTCTGCCTCCCGAGGGCTGGGACTGAGGGTGTGCATCCTTGTTCTTGCCTCCCCAGTCCTCCTCTGCTTGCTGTTGGCGCTCTTTGCATCTGGCCTCATCCACCGCGTCTGTGTCACCACCTGGTATGTAGCGGGCGGCTGGGCAAGGGCTACAGGGGCACCTGTGTCACCGCCTGGTATGTAGCGGGTGGCTGGGCAAGGGCTACAGGGGCGCCTGCCTCTTGTTACCAGATCCCCTGTGATATTGCCAGTCCTTCTGTTTTCTCATTTTTGTTCTTTCCTGATTTCCCAAACCGAAACCTGAATTCTTTCCCTGGAACCTGTCTTAGCCTGCTAGCAGCATGCCTGTTGATGCACTGTCCTCTTTTGTCCTGTAGCTTCATCTTCTCCATGGTTGGCCTGTACTACATCAACAAGATCTCCTCCACTCTGTACCAGGCAACAGCGCCAGTCCTCACACCAGCCAAAGCCACGGGCAAGGGCAAGAAGAGAAACTAACCCCGAGTGACGAATAAAGTTGATTCTTTGTAGTTCTGTCTGTAAGCACTGATGAGTGGTAGACCTCAGCTACCAGTGCCTGAGCTTGGCTGGCCCTGCACTGTCCTCTGCTTACCAGAGAGCCCCTGTGGATGAAGATGCAAATGGGATTCAAGGTGTTAACCTGTGGGGAGAGGCTGAAGGCTGAGAGGATAACACAGGAAGGGCTGTCTTCCCGTTCCAGAGTAGATTTTTAATATTGATTGTGTGTTGTGTGTGTGTGTGCGCGCGTGCGTGTGTGCATGCGTGGGCGTGTGCGTGTGTGTGTGTGTATGTATGTGTGTGCACGCGAGCTGTAAGGTGGCAGTGTCTTCTTCAAAGCCAGGAAAGATCTTACAATGGAAGTGGACCCCTTCACTGTGGGTTCCACATGGGCTGTTACTCCAGCTCCCATGCTGAGAAATGAACTTTTGTCCTTCCCGTGAGCAAAGGACCCTGGATCCTTTTGCAGCAAGCTGGGAGGTAGGAGTCTCATACTGATGTTGCTCTCCTCATCCATCTGTTCTACTCCAGCATGGGCCAAGTGCCTGTGTTTACACAGATCCGAGGCTAATCTCCAGCCCTTGCCTGTTTACACAGATCCGAGGCTAGTCTCCAGCCCTTGCCTGTTTACAC